TTCAATTGCTTCAGAAGTTCAACAAATTTCTTAAACTGCCCTGTGGTTTTGGAATTTATTAATCTTTGAGGATAAGGAATTTGTGGTTTATAAGGTGGTGGATGCACATAAGGTTTTTATTTTTCTACGGCCTCTTGGTCGTTATCTTCCTTCTCTGCTGTGGAAGTAGGTCAACATTTCTATTGGCAAATAGGGGATTTTCAAGTGCATGCTCAAGTACTTATTACCTCTTGCTTTTGGTTCAGACTCCTTCTCTGTCTGTTTAACAGGTTTTTGATACATGGTTGGGTCTTGACTCCTAGGATCGATCGGTTCGTCTAGTTCTTTTCCACTTCTTAATATAACTGCATTTGCATGACCTTTCGGATTAGGTTGTGGCTGTCCAGGAAATGTGTCAGCGGGTGCAGTAGCAGGTGCTTGTTGTTGAGCCACTTGTGATATCTGTGCTTTAAGCATTTTGTTATGGGTGGCTAAAGTGTCTACTTTGTTTGCTAGTTGCTTAATCTGCTCACTAGTGTGTATGTTTTGATTCAGGAATTCCTTGTTTGTCTGGGCTTGGGTAGCTATGAAATTTTCCATCATCAATTCAAGGTTGGATTTTCTAGGGACGTTACGAACAACTACGACTGGTTTTTGATATCCTGGTGGTACAGCAGGTGTTTGGTTAGGTGCATACATTGCATTATCACTTTTGTAAGAAAAGTTCGGATGGTTTTTCCAGCCTGGGTTATAGGTGTTCGAGTAAGGATTTCCTTGAGCATAACTCACTTGGTCTATGGGGGTTCCTGTCAATAATTGACATTCGGGAGCAGCGTGACTAGTGATTCCACATAACTCGCAGTTCGGAGTTACAGCAGCCACGGTGGCTGGTAGTGCTAGGGTTAAATTGTCAATCTTTTGCGTCAAGGCATCTACCTTAGCATGGAATTTGTCAAGACTACTAATCTCGTACATCCCACCTTTTGTTTGGGGTTTTTCTACTGAAGTTCTCTCACCTCCCCATTGATAATGGTTTTGAGACATGTTTTCGATTAGTTGATAGGCTTCGTCGTATGGCTTATCCATAAGTGCACCGCCCGCGGCAACATCTACTGTTAATATGGTATTGTATAGAAGCCCATTGTAGAAGGTATGAATAGTCACCCAGTCTTCAAGACCATGGTGTGGACATGCTCTCATCATATCTTTGTATCTCTTCCATGCTTCGTAGAGAGATTTGGAATCTTTTTGTCGAAATTCGTTGATTTGAGCTCTTAGCATAGCAGTTTTGCTTGGCGGAAAGTATCGTGCTAAGAAGACGTTCTTCAACTGTTCCCACGTAGTAACGGATTTAGATGGCAAGGATTGCAACCAAGACCAAGCTCTATCTCTAAGAGAGAAAGGAAAAATACATAATCTTATCGCGTCTGGAGTTACACCATTTGCTTTCATTGTGTCTGCGTACTGCACAAACTTGGTTAAGTGTTCATTCGGATCGTCTGTTGGACTTCCCGAGAATTGGTTTTGTTGTATGGCTGACAGCAACAAAGGTTTTAACTCAAAGTCATTTCGGTTAATAGCAGGGGCAACAATGCTACTATGAGGCTCTTGTTTAGATGGGGTAGCGTAGTACTTCAGGGTCTGTTCTGAGGTCCTTCGGCCATATTTGATTCTTCAACAGGATTAGGAGTATGAGCAAGAAGATCAGGAATATTATGTTTACGTTGATACGCTATTATGCGGCTTCTTAGATGTAAGAAGTGCTCTAGTTCGGCGATTGGTGGTTGTAAGTTATCGCTTTGTGAGCAAGTACTTGGCATACAATCGATGATCGAAAAAGGAAAATAAAATGGTTGCCTTAGTCTATACTACGCAACAGATAATTGCACTATTGACTAAACGAGTCCCTGGCAACGGTGCCAACAATTTGGTCGCAACTTTCTGAGTCTAACGGTACTAACTGCAAGCGCACAGTCTATCGTGTAGTAATAAAGATATCGATTCCACAGGGACTGGTAATCAAACCAGTGCTATCGGTTGTTACTATGTTTAGCTACGGCGGAAGATGTTTTTAGAAAATAGATGCTAAGTTATGAAATCTAAAGGAAATAAAGGTTATTAGTTTTAGAAATATCGATAGAGAAATATCAGTATGTAACGCCTTAATTATCGGGGATTCGACAGGTCACTGGTGCTGATTTAATTTTTGCAAATACTTTTTAGGAGAAAATGCTCGTTTAAAGACCTTTGCCTCACGTTTGTTATTGACTCGGGTCATATTTTTAAGGCGGAATGAATGCTCTCGCTATCCCATTCGGGGTTAAAAATACTTTTTGAAAATAAATAAATTATGATTAATTTTAAAGCACTCTCGCTGTGTTTAAAATTAATGCCTAGTTTTTACTATCCGGTTCAAACTCCACGCTTTCACGTGTCGACTCGAACCTTATTAAATTTCCCACTTTCATGGCATAACCGTTATAAATAGCTTCTCACTTTCGTGACAAATGTTATTTAGAAAATTAGATTTAAAAACTACGACCAGAAAAATCGTTTTTAAAAAGGAAATGCGCACCTGGTATTATCGAATCCCCCCTACTAATTTGATTACATACCGATATAATTGATTTAGCTCGACATGTTAACTAATGCACACATAAATAAACATAAACAATAAAACGGTATAACATGCATACTGAATAATAAAACAAGTATTGGATTAATAAGAACCTGTAAAAATTATTGATACTGGATACTCGAGTAGTCCTCCACAATGTCGGCATGATTCTAATATGTTGAAATAAAATGCAGAATGAAATAATAGTGCTTTGGAAACTGAAGGAAAAATGAAAGGAAAAGCAAAAACAGTGAAAAAATGGCCTCCACGGAAATTCGGCAGCAATACAGTATGTGAATTGGAAGCCCCTCTTTTTAGTTTCAACTCCCATCCTTTTATATCCTTGGTTGTAAGAGAAACTATCGAAAGAAATATGTTGAGGGAGAGAATTCTCTAGAAGGGCATATTGAATCATTCCTAAATTCTCTCCCCTTCGTGGTCACGTTTCTGTTCTGAACGTTGTCACTGATTTTAGGACCGTGACGACCGTGGCCAGGCTGTGACGTTCGTGATGCGTATGACGGTCGTGATGGGCCGTGACGACCGTCACACCTCCAAACCTTGTATTCTGTGGTTTTCTAGCCTTTTTCTCTTCTTTTGTTCCTTCCTTTCGCACTTTTCTATATCTTGCTCATTTTTAACATGAGAATGAAATACCTGTGAAAAACACTTGCAAGCTTGAGGAATAATTGGAATTCGGACTGAAATAATACAGTTAATCATTGGAAAATACGGAAAATATAAGATATATTTTCGCGTTATCAACAATGCTTGTGCAATGATGCCTAGGCGTGTATTATTGGCAAGAAGTTGCCTAGTTGTGAGGATAGATTTGTGTGGAACATGTATGGTTTATGTTGTTTATGGTTAAGGCGAATGTGATGCCTTGTGATTTTCGAATACAACCATGTTATCCTTAGTGATTACATAAGCAAATGGAGCCTATGGGTAAAATGCTTGAGATGGGAGTATTCCCATGGGAAATGACAATTCGTAAGGTTGATGTTATCCCTTAGAATCTGAATCCATTCAAAGTTATGTTATGTTTTATCATGTTGTCGAAAACAATCTCTTGAGATGTGTCATTCTAAGAGTTAAGACTTATGTAGAGCGCTCATCTAGAATGTACGCACTATTACTTTGACAGGTTTGATTCCTGTGTGTAGTACGAATGAAGCCTACGATTAAAATGCTTGAGGTGGGGTATTCCCATGGAAAGTGACGATTCATGTAGAAAGCACCTTGAATCCGAATCCATTTCGTATGTCAAGGTACATTGCAAGGATACATGACTCGTGGTGAAATTCCTAGACGTAGGAGAGGACAGGAAATGAGAATGCCTTGGTATTTTTTTGATTAGTGGTTGTTTGAGTTGGTGGACTCAAGAGATATGTTTCCATACATTGTGAACTGTGCAAACTCAAATATTATCCATTTCTCTTTTGATTTGAGATAGAAATTGGCTAGAACCTGGTTGAGCCGAGTGAACCCATAAGATATGGGAACTCATTGAGATTATTATCATACCCCATAATTGTTGTTGTTTTTCAGGTATTGTTTGCAGGTTTAGTTTACAAGCGGAGTTATGCTTGGATGTTCAAGAGAAACTTAGATTATATTTTCCGATGTGTATTATGTATTTTATAGAATGATGGATATTGTACTCTGATCTTAGTTTTTATTGTTTTGGCACTTTCCATATCTTGTACCATAGATCATCTTTGTGTTTTGTAAATGGTCAAGTATGTAAATTATGCCAATAGGCACTTATGATGGAATCAGTACCAGATATTAACACTTATGGTATTATTCTAGATATATATTATAAGGGCGTTACACAAGATTTCCGATAGCCATAGTTCTCACCGGTAAAGATGGACGCTCTATTGTATACCCCTTTAGGTTCGGTAGCCATTTTCTAATAAACAAACATTGAAGCAAAGAATAAACTGGATCTCGTGATACCAATTGTTAGACAAAGGCGTCTTATCTAAAGGGGATGAATAGATCCCAAATTAAAAAAAAAACTTTTATAATATGCAAATATTTAATTTTATTCTTTTATATTTTTGTTTAAAAATATAATAATTATTTTATTCAAAATGTATAATATGCGAACATTTGGTTTTATCCTTTTATATTTTTGTTTTAAAATATAATAATTATTTTATTATTTAAAAAAATCACAAAAGTAATTTATTAAAGTTATTTAAAAAAGGCTATACTTTTTGAATTAAAAACATACCAAATACACATATTATTTACCCTTTGAGTAGTTTTTACAAATTGTTCTTTTGTGACATTATATTTTCACAAATATTTGTGATTGGCCTATTCAAATTCCTATTGAAAATGTTCTTCCACCATCACATTTTTTATTCTACCTTCTTTGCCAAATACAAATTCAAAAGTTGTTGTTGTCTGTGTTTCTTTCCATAATCCTGTAATATACACTTTCTCCATCTTCCATAAATTCAATGATGTTATCATTCTCATCAAAAGTTTCTTCAAAATTTGTATCAATGCCAGTAAAATCATTTCCAACTTTTTTCAATCTCAAGTTGATATCATTATCAGCCATACTATTTCCAGCTTCCATAACTCCATTGTTGTTATCATTGTCAACAAAAGAATTTTCAGCAACATGCCTTTTATTGGAACATTTTAAGGAAAAAATGAACTCAATTTTCTTATTCATCTTTTCAATAAATTCAGGATTTTGAAGAACCATTTCAAACGAGTTCTTCAAATTATTATGCCTATTTTCAGATGCTTCTAATTTTTTCATTAGATTTTCCACATGAAGCTTCTTAGCTTGCATGTTCTTCTCGAAGCTAGCAATATCCAATTCAATTGACGCTTTTTCATTAGAAAGTTTTTCAATTTCTTCTTCAAATTCAAATCTTTCTACTTCTCCACGAGAGTGACTGTGAACAGCTTTTTTGCGATGAATATTACCAAGAAGATGATATTGATCTTTCAGAAAATATTCATTAGCAAACTCCCATTTATTAGGATTTATTTTGTTAAACCCCTGATGTTGAAACATATAACAATGAACCATAAACAAATTAGACATCAAATTTGTGTAGTGCAAAAACCATCTCGATCGATGTATAAATCACAGTTTAAAAGTTACAAATGAAATGACTAAAAAAATATATCAAAGAGGTAACACAAGATAATTAAGGTTTATGAATAATAATTCAAAGAGTAAAAGAATATATTACATACATATGAATTGAGCTGACGGACGAAGCTGGAGAAATTGTCATGATTGAAATAATTCCTAAGAACATTCTTGGCAAATTCAATATGATCCTTAATAATGAAACTGTTGTTATTTGGACTCCATGACACTATAGCATCAGTAGATGGATCATCGACCACCTGGTAAGTTTTCACCAGAAAATTTGTTGGACGACCATTACCACCACCACATGATTCTAATGTCGAATCTTCCATGATTTTTGTTTTGTTTCAAACTTTTTATTTTGGTTTCAAAATGAACCAAAGAGAGTTCTCTTATATACTAATAACCAAGTCCCAATATATTTTACTACTACATTATTTTCACAAAAATATATGCATAACGCTTATGCCTTGAATTCATTAAGCTTCTTTTGCCCCCATGTCCTACGATTTAGTTTTTAGTCTTTGTTTTTAATAAAAATAAATTCGTTAAAGTTTGTTGTCTTTTTTTTTTAAATAAAAATAAATTTGTTTACAGTTACATTTTCTTTTATTTGACCAAAATTAAATTTAAAAGATTATCCTTTTAAAAATATTTTATAAAATACTATTATATTAATCAGTCAATAATATATACAATACATGATTAATTGAACAGTTTCAAACTTTATATAAAACACTTTACGATTTTTAAAAGAGAATTGAAATTAATAATAACATTGTATTGAAAATAATAATAACATATATTATGTCAATAAAAATTAACCTTAAATTGAAATTAAATATTTTAAAAGATAATTTTACCTCTAATAGTGCTTTTTCTCAAAGAGAGATTAATCTATACAGTTCAGCAGAGAGTATAATTGATATATTTAAAAAAACATACACATATAACTCTATAGAGAGTGTAATTGATATATTTAGAACAAGATACACATATAACTATTAATACATTAAAAAAGTTGAGGTATCCCACCCACCTCAATAATAATTTCGGATTAATATTAAAGAATAATTAAACACTAAATATTGTTTTATGAATACGCAATAAAGAATTATTAAAAATATTATAATATTATATATATATATATATATATATATATATATATATATATATATATATATATATATATATATATATATATATATATATATATATATAATATTATAATATTATAATATATATATATATATATATATATATATATATATATATATATATATATATATATATATATATATATATATATATATAATATTATAATATTATATATATATATATATATATATATATATATATATATATATATATATATATATATATATATATATATAATATTATAATATTATATATATATATATATATATATATATATATATATATATATATATATATATATATATATATATATATATATATATATTCTAAGATTTAATTTATTATATTTTTTTTACTTTTTTATTTTAAATTTAAATTTATTATTATAATAATTTTTTAGTAGAATTAATTATTTTTATTTTAACACTGAGATTCATTTTCTATTTGTGGTTTTGAAAGCATTTCGAAAGATATGTTGGACATGTTCAAATAGTATTTTTACCAATCTATTTTATGAGTTAGGTTTTATGTCTCCTAATCTTGTTTTTTCTTTTTTACTTGATAAATTGTTTATTTAAAAAATTAAGAAATATTGTTTTAGTCAATATTTATTTCCAAAATATTGAATTAAGAAAAATTCCAAAAGTACCTCTAACATTCTAACAACTTTTTGAATTAAAAAAATGACTTTTTTAGGTAGGAAAATAATATTAATTAAAAATAATTCCAAAATATTTAAAAATAACATAAATTTTTATTCATACATTACTTTTATATTAATAGTTTTTATTACTATACTTTTTCAAACATATCATTAATATCTCATCAATACATACCTTTTTTATTTTGCTATTCGTCAACTAATATTTAAATAAACACTTATGAAAAAAGAAAATATGTCTAGTTTAAATTTGAATTTTCCAAAAAAAGGTCATCACAACAAAACCAGATGGATGTTACAATTAAGACAACCAAAGGTACATTTATTTTGAATCTATCCACCAAATATTTCCTTAGGTTTTTAAAAAATAATTTTAACATAAATTCTTTTAATTATTTAACTTTAACTTTGAATTTTGAAAAACCATTCAATTTTGTAGAATTCTTTTTTTCTAATATAACATTGTTTTTCAAAAAAATACGAAATAAAATAAAATTTCAAAAAAATTACAGAATTGGCCATGTTTTGCAGAGGAGTCGTCATATGAAATAACTACTCAAGTCTGAAAGACTTGATTCGCCATTTCATATGGCACATGGGTTAGGGTACCCTACATTGAGTCGCCATACCATATGGCGCATCTCATTTAGGGTTTTTTTTAAATTTTTTTTAAATTTTTAATATTTATTTTAAAAAATCTATTAAAATTATGTGCTATATTTTTTATTTTATTTTTTTGATATTTTGAAAAATATAACTCTAATAATTTTTTGTTTTTTTTAATCTATCATATTTGTTATATTTTATCATTTTTAATTAATATTAAATATGTAATATTTAGTTATTTTCATGTTTAATTAAAAAATAATAAAATTTGTTATTTTAAATAATTTAAAAAAACATATAAATGCAAGAAATAGTAAATTATAATAATTTATATTACAACAGATGGAAAAAAATTAATGGCCGACTCTATCTAAACGACCACCGGTACCACATTGTGGAGGGTGCGCGTGACGTCGAGGTCTACCACGAGGTTGTTGAGGTGTATCTGGTCTTTGCGTGTTGACCTATGGAAGAGGTATTTGTTCACATGGCCCCAGCGTATCAAATAAATTTTGAAGCATTTGACCCCAATAGCCGGGAGGGCCGCTACCAACGGCGCTTCTGTAATTAAGTTCAATGTCCATGTTTTCGTAGTTTTGTCGGGGAGGTTGGGTGGGGTATGAACGATATGTTTGTCCGAATTGATACACCGAATCGGTTTGGAAATGATGTATTAGTTGTTGTGGGGTTTGATAGTCAAAAAGTGGATAGGTATTTTGTTAGTAGGAAGATTGATTGTCTCGTGTGGGGTCAAAAGAGTTATCTGGGCTATAAGGGGATGGGGTAGGGCCAAAAGATGTATCAGGGCTATATGCAGAAGTGGTGTCGGTTTCAGAAGGCTGACGGTAGGGGTAATGCTCTTGTTGTTGTGATTGGGTTGGTGGCATGTATGAGTTACGGTTTTGGAATATTGATTGGGTGGGCATAGTTGGATGTTGGGTATAATATGGTATTTGATGTTAGGCATTGGGTTGCTGTTGTGGATTCGAGGAAGACGCATGTTGCCCCGGGTCAATCAAATATGTTGGCTCAGACACAAATGGTTGTGAGGTTGTAACGGACCTAAACCAAATCATATATTGATAACTTGGTTTAACCCCTTCCACAATAGGGTCGATTAAGATGTGTTGTTGTCGTAGCGAGGTGTGTCTGTTTCGATTAACAGCGTCTTTCCAGAAGAGAAGTGATTCATGGAAGATAGGGTCAATGGGTCCAACCCCCACTTGTATAATCACGAATCTGATGCAGGACCATCGCAAGCTCAACTCTCAATTGATTTGCGATGAGATTCTATCGGTCATTAGTGACAACCCGTCTTTGAAGGTGAGTACCATAATTTCACATATGGTTCAAAGGTATAATTACACTCCTTCATACCGGAAAGCATGGATAACTAGAACTAAAGTGATTGAAAGGGTGTTTGGAAATTGGGAGGAGTCTTACAAAGAACTTCCAAAATTCTTGGTGGCTCTTAAATAATATTCTCTAGGGACTATTGCCATATTGGAGACAATGTCGGCGTATACACCAGACGGGACTTGCGTTAGTGGAAATGACATTTTTCACAGACTCTTCTGGGGCGTTTTAACCATGTATCAAAGATTTTACTTATTCTAAACCTATAATTCAAGTTGATGGCATATGGTTGTATGGAAAATATAAGGGCACGCTACTCATGGTTGTGGCACAGGACGGGAACAACAATATTTTTCCAATAGCCTTCACTATAGTTGAAGGGGAGACTGCTGGAGGTTGGAGTTTTTTCCTAAAATATCTCCGCTTTTACATTTCTCCCCAACCTAACTTATGTTTGATCTCTAATAAACATCCATCAATCGAGAGTGCATACAGTAACCTTGATAATGGTTGGAAGGATCCTCCCTCGACCCATGTGTATTGCATAAGACACATCGCCCAAAATTTCACGCGGGAAATCAAAGACAAAACACTAAAGAAGAAGGTTGTGAACGCAGGATATGCACTAACAGAGTCCACATTCAAACACTACCGTGACGATATCAGAATGACAAACACATATGCATTAAGATGGATTGATAATATTGATAAAGAGAAATAGGCACGTGCATACGACAATGGGAGTGTGATGGGGCCACATGACAACTAACCTCGTTGAATCAATGAATTCTATTTTCAAGTGAATCCAAAACCTACCGATAACTGCCTTGGTAAAGGAAACATATTTTAGGCTTGGGGCACTCTTTGATAACAAGCGTACAAAGTGGGGTTCGATATTACAATCTGGTCAGTTGTACAGTAATAGTTCAACAACATTCATGAAAGGCGAAGCTGCCAAACCCAACACACATGTGGCCATAATCTTTGACCATAATAAAGGTTAGTTCAGTGTTGCCGAGTCAATTGATCACAATGAAGGAAGGCCTAGGGGATGTTACCGAGTGAAACTGGATAGGAGTTGGTGTGACTGTGGAAAGTTTCAGGCATTTCCTATGCCTTGCTATCATGTTATAGCAGCATGTTCGAAGGTGCACCAGGGCGCCAGGACCCAACCAACTATCTTTCTACTGTTCACCAAGTGATAAGTCTATGCAATGTCTACACATGTGTCGCATCGCTGCGAAGAAGGGTCCGACAAAGACAGAAGAGTCGCCATCGTTCGTTATTTATCCCAAAGAGAGGGAAAGGAAATGACCAGAGAAAACCTACAAAAAGGGAATAAGACAGGTCATCGCAACCAAATCTTAGGTTCGGGAGTCAGTTACGCAAGGGGAAGGTATGAGCACCCCTCACGTCCGTTGTACTCAACGGGATCCATGCTTGTTGTCTAAATCTATGGGTGAAAAGCAAAACTATCTACGGCTGCTAATGCTAAACGGAAAGAACTGACTCGATAGGACATCGCCACCCTATGCCTGCGTATTCCCTCGT